TATATGACAGATTCGTCATGCTGCTTTTTCGTCGTATCGTCTATATGACAGAGTCGTCATGCTGCTTTCTGACCAAATCGTCTACATGAAAGAGTCGTCATGCTGCTTTTTCGTCGTATCGTCTATATGACAGAGTCGTCATGCTGCTTTCTGACCAAATCGTCTACATGAAAGAGTCGTCATGCTGCTTTTTCGTCGTATCGTCTATATGACAGAGTCGTCATGCTGCTTTCTGACCAAATCGTCTACATGAAAGAGTCGTCATGTTGCTTTTTCGTTGTATCGTCTATATGACAGAGTCGTCATGCTGCTTTCTGGCCAAATCGTCTACATGAAAGAGTCGTCATGCTGCTTTCTGGTCGAATCGTCTACATGACAGAGTCGTCATGCTGCTTTTTGGTCAAATCGCCTCCATGACAGAGTCGTAATCTGGTCGTATCGTCTATGTGACAGAATCGTCATGCTACTAGTCGAATAAGAAGTGACAGGATCAAAAGTGAAATGTTATAATTATTGTCAATATTAGTGTAATATATTATCTAATTTTCAGTATGAAAAACAAAACGAGAAATGATTTGTCCAAACTCATGTATTGATAAGTTAATAAATCTTTTAAAATCTGATGTTTTAACCATGCCCTTTATTACTTGAACGCAATATAACTTAGAAACCTTTTTGTAAACGTCTAGACACATTGTTGCATAGTTAACTATTGGAAAACTGGTTTTCTGTAAATGTCCAGGCCTTCTGTAACTTGATTATGTATTGAAAACGTGTTTTTGTTGTAGCTTTTAGGCTCTCTGTCGATTTATATTAAAACCTCGAATTTTCCTTAATGTCTAGATTTTGTTATTTAATATCTTTAAAAAATCGTGTTTGCTACAAGTATCTAAACTGTCACTTTCGGTTACATATTAAACACTCGGTTTATCTTTAAGCGTGTTGACGTCAAGCACGAAGAGCCGGGCCTGGCCTAGTCGTTAGCTTGCTCGGACTGTGAACTCGAAGGTTCAGAGTTCTCAACCTGTTGCTGCAAAAACACGCTTTGCACTTTGGAACCATAGATGTATTAGAAGAGTGACGGTCAAATCCCAATATTCGATGAGAGTTGGCGGAGGGTACTTTTGACTAGCTGCCATACCTCTAGTCTTATCAGTTCAAAATTAGAGATTGTTATGCGCAGTTTATCCTTGTGTAGCTTCGAACTGAAACAATGGATTTCGCACGTTTCTAGAAATATAATTGCAATTATAAAGAAAGAAGAAAATACACGATTGTCAAATAATAATGATAAATCGCCAAAAGAATGGATGATATTTTTACTGAGTGACATTTTTTGTAGTGATAGTAATGAAAGAAAATAAACTTATGATGTGACGTCACCAAATTCACAAAATGCAACTCCAGTTACGAACTAATCTTTAACGAGAATAATTTCTATGAAAATACATTTGTAGTGCTTCTTAAAGTCTTTTGTGACGAGGAAAGAAAGTCTACGGTAACCTTGCAATTATTCAACGAAACGAGTAGATCGTGTAGTTTATGTTTTTACTAGTCAATGGAGAATCGAACTATCTTGATTTACGGACTTGACTTACCTATCACTAGAATGAGACACACCAACAGCTTCATATCTGATTCGTATCTGCAACAAAAGAAAATTGGTGTCAGTTGAAAGTCCACAAAGATTACCTCGATCTGATATTCACGTGAATTTACGGGTTAAAACAAAGACAGTCAAAAGTTGTGGCGCTACGATCAAGTAGATACTGACACCGGTCAGC